CATCCATCATCCATCCATCCATCATCCATCCATCCATCATCCATCATCCATCCCTGTGTCCATCCCCATCTCTGCAGGTCGTGTCCCAGATTGATCGCCTGACATCGGACTTCGCTCTGGACCTGGAGCCGGACGCTTGGACTCCGGCCACGGCCAGCAGCACGTCCAGCAGCGACCGGGGCGGCGCCAGCCTTGAGCTTGGCCCTCTGGATTTCGCCGCCTCCGACGTCCTCTCGGACAGCTGGGAATTCTGCTCCTTCCTGGACACCTCCACGCCCTCGGACCCCGGCGATTGTCCGGAGCCTCCGCGGCCGCCGCCGGCCCGGCTGATGAACGGGGGGGTCCCCGTGGCCAACGGCCCCCGCGGGGGCGGGGGGACCCCGGATTCCTCCAGTGAGGAATGTTTCGGGAGCGCCGCCGTTCCCAAAATGCCGTCGCAGCGGCCGGCGGGGACGCGGGAGCGGGTCCGCTTCAGCGACAAGGTGCTCTACCACGCCCTGTGCTGCGACGACGACGGCGACGCCGATGCCGGCGCCGACATTCCCGACGATCCCGCCAGGAAGGGGCCTCGGGAACAGCTCCTGAGGAATCCGGGCACGATCCCGATCCGCAGGGCCACGAGGAACAGCAGCACCCAGACCGTGGCCGATAAGAGCACGCAGACGTTGCTGCCCTACGTCCCGGCCAGGCAAAGAATTCCCAACAAAAACTGAGCCCGGATCCGGGTTTGGGAAGGGTTTGGGGGAGGGGAAAATCCCTGGGAAAGGGGTTGGAAAAGATCTATATATAAATATAAATATAAATATATATTTCAATAAATCCGTACTCCTCATAAACGCCGAGTGAGAAGGTGGCAACGAATATCCCGATATCCTGATATCCCAACGGTTTTCCAGGCTCAGGGAATTTTAATTTTTTTTTTTTTTTTAAATGGATAGAAGGAGCTCAATAAATCATCCATCCCAGAGAAATCCAGACCACAATACAGATGTGCCAGGAGGGGTCATCCAGCGTTTCTGGAAGGCAGCAATGGCACACGGATTGGGATGTGGGAATGCTGGAGGATGTGGCAGGATAGGGGAGGGGGAATTCCCCTTCCCTGGGATGTGTTATCCCTTTTTGATTTAGGAAAAATCTGTGGGATGGGACTTTTCTGGCTGAGGGGAGTTGGAATGGCATCAGGATGGCTCCAGGATATCCCTGGGATGTCACTGGAATGTCACTGGAATGTCACTGGAATGCCACTCCCAACTCCAAGAGTGACAACAAGGGGAATCACCAAAACCCCCCAGGAATGAGGAGCCGGCCTTGGAAACTCCTCCCCCCTCAAATCCCAAGTTTTCTGCTGGAAATATCCCTGACCATGAGAAACTTATCCAGCTGAAAACACTGGGAAATTCTGCTTTTCCAGAGCTCCCTAACCCCACTTTTCATGGGTTCCCTAATCCTGCTTTTCCTCAGTTCCTTAACCCTGCTTTTCCTCAATTCCTTAATCCTGCTTTTCCTGAGCTCCCTAATCCCGTTTGTCCTGAGTTCCCTAATTCTGCATTTCCAGAGCTCCCTAACCTTGTTTTTCCTGACCTCCCTAATCCTGCTTTTCCTGAGCTCCCTAACCCTGCTTTTCCTGAGTTCCCTAATCCTGTTTTTCCTGAGTTCCCTAATTCTGCTTTTCCTGACCTCCCTAATCCCATTTTTCCTGACCTCCCTAATCCCACTTTTTCAGAGCTCCCTCACCCCGCTTTTCCACCTCCAAACGCTGATTTTTCAGGGAAAGAAATCAGGTCCACCTCTGAAAAACAAAGGAATCTAGAGCTCCAAATCTCCCCTGGGCATTTTTTCCCCAGTTTTTGCAAGGTATCCAAAGGGGTTGGAGCAGCAGCTGCTCCTGGGACAATGTTCCCGTGTCCTTCCCGCGGGCTCCTGGTTCCACAGGGACACATTTCCATCCTGGAGCATTCCTGGCACGAGGATTTTCCAAAGTTTTTCTAAGACAAAAATGCCACCTTGGCACCTGCCTTTCAATCCAGGTCAGCAGAGCTGCATTCCCAAGCTTTTCCAGGTGCAATCATGGAGCTGGGACTGCAGGGTGGGAGGAATTCTGCTGGATCCAACACCAGTCAAAGCAGGGAAAAGGAGATTTTCCCCCAAATTGTGCTGGATACGGCTGGATATGATTGGATTTTTTGGGAATAATGTAAGGGATTGGCTGTGAGGGATTGGCTGTATGGGATTGGCTGCGAGGGATTGGCTGTATGGGATTGGCTGTATGAGATTGGCTGTGAGGGATTGGCTGTATGGGATTGGCTGCGAGGGATTGGCTGTGAGGGATTGGCTGTCAGGGATTGGCTGTCGGGGATTGGCTGTGAGGGATTGGCTATCTGGGATTGGCTCTCAGGGATTGGCTGTATGGGATTGGCGGTCAGGGATTGGCTGTAGGGGATTGGCTGTAGGGGATTGGCTGTGAGGGATTGGCTGTGAGGGATTGGCTGTAGGGGATTGGCTGTGAGGGATTGGCTGTATGGGATTGGCTGTGAGGGATTGGCTTTGAGGGATTGGCTGTATGGGATTGGCTGTGAGGGATTGGCTGTAGGGGATTGGCTGTAGGGGATTGGCTGTGAGGGATTGGCTGTAGGGGATTGGCTTTTAGGGATTGGCTGTCAGGGATTGGCTCTCAGGGATTGGCTATCTGGGATTGGCTGTCAGGGATTGGCTGTCAGGGATTGGCTGAGGCCGCCCCCACCAGCCCAGGCAGGCCCTGAGCTCAGCTCCGTGTCCCTTTGTGCTGCCCAGCCCGGCCTGGGGCCCTCCCTGCAGTCCCCTCTGCACAGCAATGGGGAGCACAGGCACCGACACCTCCTGTGTGTGCCGCTGTCCCCAAGGCGCGTCCCCAGGGCCACCCCATGGCGGTGGCCACCACCCAGAAAAGCGGGATTGATCCCATGATCCATGAATCTCCCTCTCCCGGGGGTGGGATCGGGGCCAGGGCTGCAAGCCGGGAGCAGAAGCCTCTGGAAAAGCAGATTTGGGGGAGCTGGAGGCACCGGCTCAGGGATGTCTGGGATGGGAGGAGACCCGATCCCATTCCGGCCAGGAAGGAGATCCTCAGGAAGGATGGAGCTGCTCTTCACTCTGGCCAGAGATCAAATCCCAGCATGGATGCATCTTGATCCCAGCCAGAGGCCAGCACGCTTCTCCCGGGCTGGATTTTGGGAATGTTCTCCCATCAGGATGCAGAGCTCAGGGAAGGACAACCAAAAATCATCCGCCATAGGGGATATCAGGAAGAACCCCAGGAAGGATCCCCCGGGAATTCCCACTCCATCTCGGCAGTGAGATGGAATTCAGGAGCCAGCTCGGTCTTCCCTGCGGGATTTTCCTGCAGGATGTGCCCAGGGATGAGGGACAGGGATGGCCCCGGCCCTGCCTGGGTTGGCCCCCGGTGCCGGAGGCTGGGTCGGGACAGGCACTGAAAGCTTTTCCTCCAGGAATCCCGACCCGTCCCGGAGAGCACACGGAGCCGGGAAGGATCGACCGACACGGTCCCGAATTTATTTGTCAAGGCACGAGAAACCCTCCAGATCCCGGGTTTTCAAGAAGGACTCGACCCAAGGAGCCCTTGGGGACTTCCCCCACTCCGGAGCGGGAGCAGCAGTGGGACAGGGACATTCCAGCAGCACTTGGGGTGTACCCGTGTCCCCGACAGCACTGGGGGGACCCCGGGACATCCCCCAATCCCAGGGGAATAACGAGCTGGGGATGTCCCCAGAGCTGTCCCCACAGCACCCGGCCAGCGGGTGCCCCCGTGGCCCTCCCTTCCCAAAAATGCCCTGGGATCGTTCCCGGTGGGACAAAGCCAGCCAGGACCCAGCAGAGTTTAAGGCCAGAAGGAGAGCGGAGGGACACGCGTGTGGCACATGGGACAAGGAGCGTCCCCACATCCAGCAGGAGATGCCAGCCCCAATCCCGGATCCCCCCTCGGCATTCCCGAGGCTCCAGGCTCAGGAAGGCAGGGAAAGGCACCCTGGGCAGCACCCGGAGCAGGGAAGAGCGGGATGTCCCCACACGGGGACAAACAGAGGGACACGGAAGCACAGGGACAGATCCTCACCCCGTGTTTCCCTGGGAAGGACGGGCCGGGCCTGGAAGGGAGGCAGGGAATGGGAATGGGAATGGGATTGGGATTGGGGGCAGCAGCTCCGGGTCCTCCCTGCCGGGGCACCCCGGGGTTGTCCCCGCTCGGGGACATCCAGGCGGGGCTGGGGCTCCGGGGGGGCCCCGCTGCCGTCAATCGATCTCCTGCTCCTGACCTGGGAGAGGGAAAGGGAACGGAGAGCAAAAACACCGTGACCGCCAGGCCCAGCAAAAGAGAAACCCCAGGCTGGGATTAATGAATTAATGAATTAATGAATTATTGGGGCCGCAGCCGCTCAGGAAAAACGGGCTCCCCCCTCTCCAGGCTGCTCCAGACCCTGGGATTCACTCCCAGGCGTGGTTTTATCCCTTCATCCCCACTCCTGGCTGGAAATTCCAGATGTTGATATTCCAGCCTTGTTTCTGCTGGAAAAGTGGGATTCGCACCGGGAATGAGAAGCCACAGGGTTGGGAAGTGAGGGAAAGAAGGGTAATTCCCGAGGACATAAAATAATTGGGAAGGGTTAATTCCCAACAATAAAAGTAGGAAGTGGCAATTCCCCATAGTAAAATCAGCAGGGATTCAGCAGCAGCAGAGGCCAAGCTCTGATCCAATGGTGAGGGAGGGAATAAGTGGAAACATCAGGATTTGGGGACTGGAAGGAGCCGGGATTGAGCAGGTTTGGAAAACTCTGGAGCCTTTTCCAGGCTGGGATGGGAGGGGGCTGGAGGCTGGGAGAAAAGGGAAAGGCACCACCAGGAGCTGAGGTATCAATTCCCATGGAATTCCAGCTGGAATTCAGCACCAGGATGCTGCTGGGAGTTCTGTGGGCTCCCTGGAATGGCAGCACCAACCCCAGCAAATCCATGGAAACACCTAAAAAACCCCAAATTCCTTCCAGGGTTGGGTGTCAGGAGGCTTTTTGCTTTTTCCAATCCCAGAGTGGCCGGGAAAAGGAGGGATGAGGGATGCAGGAGCTGCTGGATGCTGGGAGAAGCCAGCACAGCCCAAACCAGGCTGGAAACGGGAGCTGGGAATCCATAATTTGGGAAATGCTGATGGAAAACCCGGGAAAAATGGAAATAGGGATGGGAAAATCCCCCCCAAAACCCGATAAATGTTTCCCGTGTGGATTTCAGGGAGAAAACGTCACAAGGGACCCGGGAATTACCCCGGATTTGCCAGAAACATCCACTCACCCTCTCTGCTCTCCACGTTTTCCAGCAGCTGCAGAGCTGGGGAAAGGGAAAAATATCCCTTGGTCAATCCCATCCCCTTCCCAAGGGTTAATCCCATCCCCTTCCCAAAGGAAATGGCTCCAAAATCCCACTTTTTAGGGAATAAACCCCAAGAGCTGCACCCATTTCCAATTTCCCCACAGAATTCCAAGGGTTTTCTCCTGTGGAACATGTTCAGTGGATAAAGGGAATCCCTAGGAACATCGTGGACCTGCTGGATACTGGAAAATGAAGGAATTGGGAGGTTTTATTATGGAATTCTGTCATTTTATGAAGGAATTGGGAGGTTTTATTTGGGAACTGGGAGATTTAATTAAGGAAAGGGGAGGCTTATTAAGGAATTGGGAGGTTTTATATGGGAACTGGGAGATTTTATTAAGGAATGGGGAGTTTTATCCGGGATCTGCCAGGTCAGAGGTGTCAGAAAAATTGGGAATACTGAAGGGGCCGAGCAGCCAGAGCACCACCCCAAACCAGGATCGGGCACCCACCTGTCTTGGGCTCCTCCCCCTCCTCATCCCGCTCCTCTGGCCCTGGAAAACAATGATCCAGAGGTGGGAAACCCTCACCAAACCCCATTCCTGGGATTCTGTGGGTGCCCCTTGGAGCATCCTGGGCTTTCCACAGGAGTGTCCCCCCCAGCCAGGGAAGCACATTCCTGAAAATCCCAGCAGGAGAAGCCACAGCTCTGAGGGACGTCTGTGTTTTTAGCACAGATCCCTGGATCCCCCAAACTTTGGGATGCTCCCACAGCCCTTCCCTCCCTCCAACAAGATCCTGGGAGCTTCCCACCCCCTGCTGCCATTCCCAGCAGGAAAAATCGCTGTCCCTGCTTCCCAGGCTGTGGGAAGAGGCTCCTGGTGAGCAAAATCCATGGAAAAAAGGTGATTCCCGAGGGTGTACAGGCAGCAGTGGGAAACTGGGGGCAAAATCCATGGAAAAAAGGTCATTTCCAAGGGTGGCAGAGTTACTTCCCCAGCCCTTCTGGGAGCTTTTTTGGGAATTAATCCCCCTCTGGTGCAAACACCTCCCTGTAAAAATGTGAAATACAGCCCAAATGGGAGCAGGATGTGGGAAAGGAGCCTGGAGCTGTTTCCAGAGGCACCGGAGATGTGCTGGCTGTGGGAACCAGGAGCAGGAAAAAGGGGACAGGAGTCACAGTGCCACTCCCCCAGTGTCCCTCAGCCACACCCATCCCCTTCCCAGCCCTTCCCTGGATTTACCTGTGCGCTCCTCATCCTCCCGGCAGCTCTCCCGGATTTTCTGGTGGCACACGAAGGCCAGGACACCGAGCAGCACCACCACGCACACGGCCAGGGCCACTGTCACCCACAGGGCCACCGCCGGGAATGCCAGGGGCTGGCCTTGCGGGGAGGGAGGGAAAAGCGCCTGGATCAGCACCTGGGCTGTGCTGGGAGCTGGGGGGACCCCACATCCGGGATGGGTCAAAATCCGGGGTGACCCCATATCCAGGTGACCCCACATCCGGGATGGGTCAAAATCCAGGGTGACCCCATATCCAGAGTGACCCCATATCCAGGATAGTTCAATATCCACATCCAGGATGGGTCAATATCCAGAGTGACCCCACATCCAGGGCTACCCCACATCCAGGATGCTTCAGAATCCAGGGTGACCCCACATCGAGGGTGACCCCATATCCAGGGTGACCAATCCCACATCCAGGGTGACCAATCCCACATCCAGGGTGATCAAACACCCAGGGTGATTCCAACACCCAGGATGATCCAGGGTGACCCCATATCCAGGATGGTTCAGAATCCAGGGTGGCCAATCCCACATCCAGGGTGACCAATCCCATATCTAGGATGACCCCATATCCAGGGTGATCAAACACCCAAGGTGATCCCAAATACCCAGGATGATCCAACACTGAGGGTGATCCCATATCCAGGATGGATCATGACCCAGGCCCCAGGAATTGCCACGTCAGGGGAATGTCACCATGGAGGACCTAAAGGTCACCCTGGGTGGCTCTGGGTGCCAGTGCCACCACGGCCACCTCCCCAGCCCCAGGGCTCACCCGTGATGGTGACAGAGGCGTGGCCATGCTGCTGCAGCACGGCGTTGAGCACCAGGCACGAGTAGGTGACGCTGGGCTCCACCAGCACTCGCAGGACGCTGTGCACCTCGAACAGCCCCTCCTCGTTGGCCACCTGGGACGTGGTGACATTGGAGGTCAGGTTGGCACCCCGGCTGTCCTGCCACAGCACGCTGGCCTGCGGGTACCCGCGGGAGGCGTGGCATGTCACCACGGCCACGTCACCCGGCTTCAGGTCTTTGCTGGGCTCCAGGTGCACGCTGGGCTTGGAGTAGGGAGCTGTGGGGACAAGGGGGGGATGGTGTGAGGGCTGGGATGGGGAGCTGGGTGAGCCCCAGCAGGGGATAAACCCATCCTCAGGGTCACTGCCAGCCCCAGCAGAGGATAAACCCATCCTCGGGGTCACTGCCAGCCCCAGCAGAGGATAAACCCATCCTCAGGGTCACTGTCAGCCCCAGGATGGGCTCACCCAGCTCATAAACCCCAGCTCAGGGTCACTGCTGGTTGAGGTGGCCCCTTGGCTGGGACCCTCTCAGGGCACGGACCACACTCTACTCCCCAGGGATTATTTTGGGGAGGTGCAGCCATTGATCCCCAGTGTCAGGAGGGACCCCCACCAAGCCTGGCCACCCTGCAGACCCCTCCTCTCTCGTGCTGTGGACACACTGTTAGAGGTCTAGGAGGATCACAGCCAGGGAAATCATTCCCAGGCTGAAGTCTCTCCTGTTCTCTCAGCTCCTTTCCCAAGCTGATAACGTGCTCAGCTCCAGCAGGGAGGTTTTTCCCCAGGACGTTTGTTTTGTCAAAATAGAATGGATTAAAAACATAAATTAACACCTGGTGGTGACCGTGGGACCCATCCTGAAGGACAGTCCCAGAGGTGTTTTCCCAATTATCCAATGAGCCACTGTCTTGTCTTAGCTCAGCAGAACACCCTAGAAATATGCACCGTGTTCTCAATGAATGCCTTCCTTTCCCCAAGGAGGTCCGTGCTGCTCTCACGGCTTTCTCCAGCACGGTAGTGACAACCTGGCACCTCCAGGGACCCCCGGCAAGGCTGGCCAGGCTGCAAACCCCTGGTCTCACCTGGAGGGACCCCCACCAAGCCTGGCCAGGCTGCAGCCCCCTGATCTCACCTTTAGGGACCCTCAGCAAGCCTGGCCAGGCTGAAGCCCCCTCCTCACCTTTAGGGACCCCCACCAAGCCTGGCCAGGCTGCAGCCCCCTCCTCACCTGCCACCTGCAGCACGACGGCGGCGCTGTCGTAGTCGCGCACGCGCACGAAGCAGGTGAAGCTGCCCTCGTCCTGGATGCGCACTCGCCGCAGCAGCAGGGACACGTTGCCCAGGGCCAGCTGGTCATAGAACAGGGACGTGCGGTTGGTGTAGCCCCGGCCCTGGTCCTGCAGCCGGTCGTGGCCCCCGGAGAAGCCGTGCACCAGGCTCTTGGTGTCGGTCAGCTGCCAGATGAGGCTCAGCTCGGCCACGCTGAAGTTGGCATCGGGAGAGAAGGAGCAGTGCAGGGTGGCATCGTGGCCGAACAGGGCCACCACGGGCTCCTCCGGTACCTGGATCTCCATGGCACCTGTGGGAGGGCGTGAGGACGCGCTGGGACACATCCAGGAGCACCTCCTGAATTTTCCAGCTGGAGAGAGTCCAAGGAAATTGAGGGATGCCCATGAGAGGGACTCGTGGGCAGGTGGCATCTCAGGACTGTCCCCAGCTATGCCATCCTGCTGGAAGGGGAACAGTCCCACAGCCAGCACCAAACTGGGGCACCTGCAGCTGCCAGGAGCATCCAGGAGCAGCCACGGGCACCCAAACCTGCACCGGGACACAGAGCCTGGATTGTCCCCAAGGAGACAGGACAGCGGGTGGCAGCGGTGGGGACACGGTGCCCAGGAGGAGCCAGCACTGGCCAGGCTGGCAGGCTCTAGGTGGCATCAGTGCTCCAGCACAGTGCCAACAGGAGTGGCACAGCACGATTCCAACTCATCCCACTGCCTTGGAATGATTCCAGCTCATCCCAGTGCCATGGAATGATTCCAACTCATCCCAGTGCCATGCAATTATTCCAGCTTATCCCAGTGCCATGGAATTATTACAATTATTCCAGCCACATTCCAGTGCTATGGAATGATTCCAACTTATGCCAGTGCCATGGAATGATTCCAGCCCCATCCCAGTGCCATGGCATGACTCCAACTTATCCCAGTGCTATGGCACAATTCCAACTCATCCCAGTGCCATGGAATGACTCCAGCCCCATCTCATTGCCATGGAATGATTCCACCCCATCCCAGTGCCATGGAATGACTCCAATGATTCCAGTCCCATCCCAGTGCCATGCAATGATTCCAAATCATCCCAGTGCCATGCAATGATTTCAGCCACATTCCAGTGCCATGGAATGATTCCAATGATTCCAGCCCCATCCCAGTGCCATGGCACAATTCCAACTCATCCCAGTGCCATGCAATGATTCCAGCAACATCCCAGTGCTATGGAATGATTCCAATTTATCCCAGTGCTATGGCATGACTCCAGTCCCATCTCACTGCCATGGAATGATTCCAACTCATCCCAGTGCCATGGAATGATTCCAGTGATTCTAGTCCCATCCCAGTGCCATGGCATGACTCCAGCCACATTCCAGTGCCATGGAATGATTCCAACAATTCCAACTCATCCCAGTGCTATGGCATGATTCCAACAAATCCAGCCACATCCCAGTGCCATGGAATTATTCCAGCCCCATCCCAGTGCCATGGAATGATTCCAGCCTCATCCCAGTGCCATGGAATGATTCCAGCCCCATCCCAGTGCCATGCAATGATTCCAGCCCCATCCCAGTGCCATGCAATGATTCCAGCTTATCCCAGTGCCATGGCATGACTCCAGTCCCACCCCACTTCCATGGCAGATTCCAGCCCCATCCCAGTGCTATGGAAAGACTCCAGCCCCATCCCTTGTAATACTTCCTGCATGGGGATGAGGGCAGGGTTGGGACAGGGAATTTTTGGGAAGATCCCGTGCTGGGACGGGCAGACAGGGAGGAAAAGAGCACTGGCAGCCGGCCTGGCCCCGGGCTGTCACCCACGGAGCACGAACCCAGGTGGGACGCTGCCACCCCGGGGCACAGCTTTGTCGGGACACGGGTGGCACTGGGGACATGTCCAGCCCCCCCAGCCCCACTCACCTGCCGGGCCGAGCACCAGGATGAGCAGTGGGAAGAGCATCCTCGGCACGGGAAAAGTCGGGATGAGGAAACGGGAGCGGGCACGGCCCCGGGAATCCTCGCGGGAAGGCTCCTCCCTGAGAACCCCGAGCTGAGGGAAAAACACAAGGAAACGCTGGGATGGTGCTGGGAAGGAGGGACACCGAGCGAGGGAAGGGATCCCATGGCAGCCATTCCCAGGGAGCACCCACCCCGCCAGAAACCATGGGAAGGGGTTCGGCTCCAGCCTGGCACGGGCCGGGGGATCGCTGCATTCCCGGCCCGACCCGACGGAGCCGGCGGCAGCTCCGGAGGCGGTGGCCGTGCCCTGGGGAAGCCACGTGAGCCTCTTCCTTCCCTTCCCTTCCCTTTTGTTCCTGTCTTTCCCAGCTTCTCCCTGCAGCGCCGGGCCGTTCCACCCCCGTGCTCCAAGAGCAGCTCGCTCCCAGGCTCTGGAATTTCGCTCCAAACGCAACGGGAGCGGCTCAAAGGGAAAGGGTTGAGGGTTCCCAGCTCCGGCAGCGGCTCCAGGGGAGCGAGGCTCATCCCTGCCCGCGGCAGGAAAATCTCCGGGATGGGACTGTCCAGGAAAAGGGGGAATTAAACCGGAGCTGGATGTGGGGAAGGTGAGGGCAAAGTGCCCGGTCCCGCTGGCGGCGGCGCTGGATTCCCGAAAATCCGCGTGACCTGCGCTCCTCTCGCGGCTGGAATGAGCTCGGGACAGCGGCAACACTGCGTGTCCCCTCCCTGTCCCCTCCGTGTCCCAGCCCATCACAGGGACCCGCTCTGTCCCCTCCCTATCCCAGCCCATCACAGGGACCCGCTCTGTCCCCTCCCTATCCCAGCCCATCACAGGGATCCGCTGTGTCCCCTCCCTGTCCCCTCCCTGTCTCAGCACATCCCAGGGTCCCACTGTGTCCTATCCCTGTCCCTCTCTCTATCCCTGTCCCTGTACATCCCAGGGACCCGCTGTGTCCCCTCCCTGTCCCTGTCCCTGTCCCTGTACATCCCAGGGACCCGCTGTGTCCTGTCCCTGTCCCAGCCCATCCCAGGGTCCTGCTGTGTCCCCTCCCTGTCCCCTGGCACTGGCATTGCCACATCTGTGGGGTCACGGCACGGCGTTCCTGGGGTGCCGCGGGAACGGCCGCATTCCCTAAATCCCCTTTAACTGGGAAAACGGCAGCGCCAAAGGGCGGCTCAGCTCAGCTCCCATGGGGGAAACTCAGGCACAAAGGGAAACTGGGACACAAGGGATGAAAAGGATACAGGGAATGGGGGAAACTGAGGCACAGGAAATGAGGAAAATTGGGGCAGGAAAGGGAAATTGGGGCACAGGGAATGGGGAAAGTGAGGCACAAAGGAGAAACTGGGACACAAGGGGAAAACGGGTACAGGGAATGGGGGAAACGAGGACACAGGAATGGGGGAAAACTCAGGCACAAAGGGGGAAACGGGCACAGGGAATGGGGAAACTGAGGGACAGGGAATGGGGAAAACTGAGGCACAAGGAATGGGGGAAACTGAGGCACAAGGGAGAAACTGGAGCACAGGGAATGAGGGAAAAAGGCACAAAGGGGCACAAAGGGGCAACTGACTTATGGGGGAAACTGAAGTTTAGAGGGAAACTGAGGCACAAGAAACTAAGACACAAGGAGGGGAACCAAGACACAAAGGGGAAACTGAGGCACAGGGAATGGGAGAAACTGAAGCCCATTTCTACCCCAAGAGTCCTAAGAGAGCTTCCCCTCTCTTTCCCTCCAAAGCATGAGGTAAAACGAATTATCCAGGTTTTTTCTCTTACCCCTATCCTTAACTTTTCCCAACCGGACACGTCCCAGGCTGCTGGGAAGGAGAAAGGTGGGAAAGAGCAATGGGGCATCACTACCCAGGAGAGGGGAAACCCTGACTCATTCCCCTTGGAATCCTTCCCTTTCCCTGGGCATGTTAAACAAATCCTCTTTTCCAGGTTTGGTGACCTTCAGTTCCTGCCAGGCCAGCTCAGGGGTGTCACGGGAAGGGGACACCCGTGTCCCCAACCCTCCTGCTGCAGGCGGGAGTGTCACCGTGCCGTGACCCAGTTTCCCCAAGCACAAAAGACCTGAGCTCAAGCTGGGATATAAGGAATCCTCCAAAAACTTCCCTGGGAAGTGCCAGGGATGGCTGAACCCTCCAGAAACCCAAGGAATAATTAATCCTCCGGGAACCATACGTCACCCGTTCCCTATTGTTTTATAATCCCCAAATTATCCACTGCCAGTTTATCACCCTGAGGTGTCAAGGAAACACCTCCAGATGCAGGGAGAAGTCCTTGTCTCCCAGTCCAGCTCGATCCCAGTTTTTGGGGTGCCTGGGTCAGCCCCGCCTCTGTCCCTCCCCTCGAGCCAAGAGTCCGGCTCTGCTCGGGACTATTTTTAGTTCCCGCTCAACTTCTGGGCGTGCAGCAGCAATCCCTCACTTGGGACTCTGTGGGGATGGGGGTGTGAAAAGATGGGACACAGCCCCCAGATCCCATCGGGGATTCGGAGTGTGGTGTTTGGGGTTAGGAAGGGACGAGGATTCGGGGCGATACCTGGCAGGAAGAAGGGACGAGGATTTGGGGTGCAATACTGGGAAGGAGGAAAGGATGAGGATTTGGGGTGCAATAATGGGAAGGAGGAAAGGATGAGGATTTGGGGTGCAATACTGGGAAGGTATTGGGATTTGGGGTGCAATACTGGGAAGGAGGAAAGGATGAGGATTTGGGGTGCAATACCGGGAAGAAGGAAGGGACGAGGATTTGGGGTGCAATAACTGACAGATGGAAGGGACAAGGATTCGTGGTGATCCTTGCCGGGAGGAAGGGACTGGGATTCAGGATGGCCCGGAGGAAGGGCGGGTGGGTTATCCCTTGTTTGGGAACGGGGAAAAGGGGAACCAGCGCTTCCCCTCGGGACTGTGTCCCACGCGCGGGGCGCGTTCAGCCCTGGATACCCAAGAGGGCGTTTCCCATCGGATTCCCAAGCATCCCGGGGTGCCACCTCCCCTGCACCCACCCCGGCGCCGGGTCCCCGCCTCTCCCCGGGACCGCTCCGCACCGGGCCGGGGCACCCCCGCAGCCCCCCAAGCCCCTCGGGGCTCCTGCCCCGGCTCGGGGGACCCCCATTCATTCCATTCCACTCCATTCCTCCCTCCCTTCCTTTCTCCCTCCGTCCGTCCCGGAACCCCGCCCGGCGCCCAGCCGCGGCCCGCGGGAGGGGCAGGGGCAGCGGGGCGGCTCCAGCGGCGGGGGAGCGGCGGGGCCGCCCCGTTACCGGCCCCAGCCCGCACCCCCCGAGCCCCCCGGGCCGCCCCCGGGGCCGCCCCGGCACTCACCGGGCCCGCGGAGCAGGCAGCGAGGGCAGCGGGCGGCGGCCCCGGCACGATTGGCTGCGGCTGCTTCCTGCCGGGAACGGCGCGGGAGGAGCCTGGAGCCGGGAGAGGGGAGCCAGGAGAGCGGGAATGGGAGAGCGGGAATGGGAGAGCGGGGATGGGGAATGGGGACACCGGGCATGGGGATTAAGGAGACCGGGAACGGGGATTAGGGAGAACAGGAATGGGGAATTGAGAATGGGGAGACCGGGACTGGGGAATGGGGAATAGGGAATGGGCAGAACAAGATTGGGGAGCGAGGGGACTGGGGAGAGCGGGAATGGGGACACCGGGGAATGCGGACACCGGGAATGGGGAGACCGGGATTAGAGATTGGGGAGAACGGGAATGGGGACTGGGGACACCGGGAATGGGGATTGGGGAGACCGGGAACGGGGATTAGGGAGAGTGGGAATGGGGAATGGGCAGAACGAGACTGGGGAGCGAGGGGACTGGGGAGAGCGGGAATGGGGACACTGGGAATGGGGACACCGGGAATGGGGATTGGGAATGAGGAGACCGGGATTGGGGACTGGGGAGCTGGGAGAGGGGAGTGAGGGCATTGGGGAAACCGGGAATTGGGACTGAGGAGCAAGAGGAGTGGGGAACCTGGGAATGGGAATGGGGAGCCTGGAGCTGAAGTTTGGGGAGCGCTGAGCAGGGAGATTGTAGAGCAGTGGGCCAGGGATTGGGGTGCCCAGGGGATTGGGGAGCACTGAGGCAGGGGGTTGGGGAGCCTGGGGGATTGGGGAGGTGGGACTTGGGGACTGGGAGCCACTGGCCGGGGGATTGGGGTGCACAGGGCTGGGGGATTGGGGAGCACCCGGCCCGAGGGATTGGGGGTGTCTGGAGCCTGAGGGTTGGGGTACAGCCTGGGTCAAGGCATTGGGGGGCACAGAGCTGGGGGATTGGGGTGCACTGAGGGCATTGGGGTCCACTGAGCCATGGCACTGGGGTACAGCCTCACCCAGGGCATGGGGGTGCAGGGAGCCAGGGGACCAAAGTACAGCAGGCTGGGGGATATTGGGGTGATGGAGCCTGGGGACCAGGACACAGCAGTCCAGAGGATTGGGGTACATGGAGGCAGGGAATGCTGGGGTGCACAGCGCTGGGGAAACGGGGTGCATGGAGCCAGGTGAAGCCCTCAAAGCTGGGACATGCAGCCCCAGGGGATTGGGGTGCACAGAACCAGAGATTTTGGAGATCTCAGATTCGGGATGAGGTGCATGGAACCAGGCAGGAAGGCTGAGCCATCTCCTCTGGGGAGGACAAAAGGCAGCTGGAATTTGCCAGGTGGAGCCCAGGAAAATCCTGGTTAATGATTTCCCCACACCAGCTGTCCCACACCGTGCTGGGCAGAAAGCACTGCTGGGAACACGGGGAAAACCCCAAAAGTTTGGGAGCCATGGCACTGGAAGGGGACACCCACGAGGGTGGTTTGGGCCTTTCTTTGCTGCAGAGCAGAGGAAGCTCCTCACCCTTTTAATTACAGAGGAAAGCTGCAACACCCAAAGCTGGAGAGCTGAAAATTAAAAGGCGAGTTAAAATAACCCCAGACGTGCTATATTTAAACCCTTCCATGTTTTTTTTTTTTTTTCCCCTGGCAGGCAAGGGAGGATTTTGCAGTGAGGGAGCTGCTGAAAGGCTGGTGCTGTGACCTGGGCACCCGTGGTGACAGCA